ATACACTCAACAGCCTCCTGCTTGGAAATGGCAGCCAATAATTTTAAGGCTGCTTTAAGGAGGCACTCAGGCATTGACGGGTTCCAGCTGCAACACGCAGGCAGCCTTAGTTATTAGCCCAGCTCTTCATCTCTTGCATTACTGTTATCGGAAGGAAATCTCTGCCAATTCAGCATCAGGTTCTGCGTAGGGACTCAGCCCACTTTTCCCTTCCACAGCCCCTCCACCTCTGACCTAACTCAGGCCACATGTACAACCTGGGAGAACAGCTGGGGAGGGGGGAGAATACTGGGGTTCTGGATTTATCCAAACTGTGCCAAAGAGCAAATGTCCTATTTTGGAGCCCTTTCCAGGGCCAGAAAGCAAAAACTGAAGTCTGCAGGAGAATTCAGGGAAGATTTGAGATCCAACCACATTAAGGGTTAATTTTCAGGGTTGTGTTTCCCTGCTGCAAAGAGAAGGCAACCAAATCTAGCTCCTTTGGCTTGTAGCTTACATTTGGACCGCCAAAGATTTACTTTTCCAATTCCAAATGACTAGGTTCAGTCTTCAGGAGCTCCTCTATCTTTACAGATGGCTTTTAACCGCCTGTGATTTGACATACGCCAGCACCTCCTTTAAGGAAGCCTCATTAACTTCAGGGATTCTTTCTTTAGGCCAAGGTGAGGATTTGGAATCTGTTGAGACAGGATGCTGTGCAAAGCTCTCCATAAAGTTTCATCCACCTTCAGAGTATTCTGCTCTTATTATTAGCCCTAATAGTTAGAAGATGAATACAGAGCTACATCTGTCATTGTGAAAGCCAAACTCTAGTACATCACCTGTTTTTTTTGACCACTGTGGCTTTGGGGCTTCTCTAAAACTCAGGTTAAAATTTACAACAGGAGGTGGCAGTTTGTAACAATGCAGAAGCTTTAGAATTTCAATTCCCATGTTCCTTTGCCGCTGGTCCTGCTGACTGAGGGTGATGGAGGTCAGGAGCCAAAGCGCAGGAAGGCCGCAAGCTGTTTTCCTCACATCAACATTCCTTGACCCAATTAAGACTCTAGCTTTCTTCATTTCTGCTTCGTCTCATGTTAACACCCTGGCTTTCCATTTGCATGCAATTTAACAACATGTGTAAACCCTGACATTTTGGATATTTGAGCTGCATAAAGGGTAGGACAAGGGGGGGAGAGAGAGAGCGTGAGAGAGAGCTTTATAGAAGTGTCCTTCCTGAAGCGAGGAAATTCTGGAAATTGATACAAAAATGGATCCAAGAAATAATAGAGGAGGATATTGCCTTTATACCAGAAATCTATCTCCTGGGAGTTCTGAAACGAGCATATGGGAAGAAGAAGAAGTTTCTAATTGTCCACATCGTCACAGCTGCGAGAATCTCTTATGCACAATATTGGAAGGAGAAAAGTTGTCCAACTGAGGAGCACATAGTTAACAAAATATTGGAATGCGCAGAAATGTGTAGATTAACACATGTACTAAATGAGAAGGAAGATTCTGAGTTTTATACGGTATGGGATTTGTGGTATAGGTGGTTGGGAAATAAATGCAAAAGTTAACTACTAAGGGGGACAATGCTTAACTATTAACTTAACTTATGTACTATTATATTATAATTTATAACATATTAATTTCATAAATATTTTATGTCTTAATTGTAAATCATCTATATAACTGATTAGTTACCATATTTATAAGCATATAGTATGACTACACGTTGCCAAACCGAAAAGGTCGAATTGTAATATTTTTGTCTATTCAATAAAATTAAAAAAAAAAGAAGTGTCCCTCACACAATCCTCAAATTACAACTGTAATTGAGCCCAATATTTCTGTTGCTTAGTGAGTTTTGCCCCAGTTTACGATCTTTCTGGCACAGTTGTTAAACAAATCATTGCAGTTGTTAAGTTAGTAACATGCTTGTTAAGTGAATCTGGCTTCCCCATTGACTTTGCTTGTCAGAAGGTCGCAAAATGGGATTGCACGACCCTGGGATATTGCCACTGTCATAGGTATGAACCAGTTCCCAAGCATCCGAATCTTGGACACATGGCCATGATTTAAGTCATAACTGTGAAAAATGATCATAAGTCACTTTTTTAAGTGACATAACTTTGAACGGTCGCTAAATGAATTGTTGTAAGTCAAGGACTACCTGTATCATAGAACATATCTTACTCTCAAGCAAGAGAAGCAGCATGCCTGCCTGTAACCATCAGCTAATCTGCATCTCTAATTTAACATACCTAAAATTGTCCGATTTTGCTGAAATGCATCCCACACAATCCTCCTTCCAAAGGGCTCCGAGGTGTAAAAAAAATGACAGAATGCTACACACACACTCACATACACACAGAAACACACTTACTTACATGTTGAATTGCCCACCAACATGATGCTGATGGTAGCACTGATTCATCACCAAGCACAACCCTAAAACAATATTTTTGGGCAAACATGTTCAGCACTAATATTATGGACAGCAGTAACATTCTGAGATGTCTTTCCTTCTTCCAACTCCTTCACAGTTCTGACCAAATCTCCATTGATCCAAGATCAAAAGAAGAAACATAACCAACTTTTTTCCTAAAAAGAGAAGTCTGAATCTAAAGATCTCCTTCTCATCTCCTAAGGTCAGGCTAATTTGTCTAATTTGCCATTTGTCTGAAATGGTATATGGTCCCCTGTTTGTGCAGGGGGTTGAACTAGAAGATCTCCAAGGTCCCTTCCAACTCTGTCATTCTATGTTAAATTCTATGTCTATATTAATAAATATGGGGGCAAGAAGTGGGAGATAGTATGTAGATTTTTTTTTAAATCTACAAGAAGCCCAAGTCCTTGGCAATTCAAACTGTACCTTCTATTACAATATAATAGTTGTCAAGTCCTCAAGCAATCATTGTTATTATCAACAGCATCCAGCTATAGACAGATTGGTGATTCACATCTCTTTAGGCACACAGCTTCTAACCTTCCTTCTGGCTCTAACAGCTTAAGACACTTATCAGTTTTTTATCTATTTCCAAACATCCCTTATTTGAAATTGCAGAAAATTCCGGTGTTCACCATCACCTTCCCAACACAAAAGAAAGAAGAAAAGTTGGAAATTGAAGTAACCACTTCAAAACTTATGAAAAATTTACGAAAATGAAAATTTAAAACATTTATTTAAAACCTCCTCTTCCATTTGCGCCCACTACTAAACACAGTTTAATAATTTGTACTTTAAACTTTGGCAATTGTTGCTAGCTTGTATTTAAACCCTTTAAAACCCATCTTCCAGATGCTTAAATCTACCCTGCTCTGTGTTATATTGTCTACAGGGAAGCCATTCCTGGCTGTATCTTGTTAGACTTATATTTATGGCAGCCCTCATAATTTATGGCAGCAAAAGCATAATTTGGAAATGATTGCTCTGCAGCAACACCAGGGAGATATTTTTAAAATATTTCAAAAGGAAAAGACAACAGTACCCCAAATTAGAGGAGAGGCACACCACCCAAAGTAATGCCTTCACTGCAACCCTCGTGGTTTTCCTGGGCACCCCTGCTACTCTAAACTCTTTGACATGAGGAATATATTTCTCCTTTTTGGACCACTTTTAACAGAAAAATTAGTGGGCATCTTTTATCTGGTGACATGCAATTCATCTTTTGCCTATCTGGTAAGATGCAATTCGAGACTTCTGTTCTGAATGAAAATCAGTGTCGATTAAAGTCAGCCCTTTACTTTTAGGTTACTTTTGCAACTGGTCAAGATTTTCATCTTACTCCCTCCCCCCCCCTTCTTTTTATTTTAAAAAGGATGAAAAAGGAAATTGTATCAAAACCCTCCACTATTTTTTTTATTCTACTTATCTGTGAAGGTGGAAACTTGCAACAGCAGGTGGTTGCATTTTCAGCCTGTTGAGGCTGAGTAGCATGGAAGGATGTTGGTAGATTGGGGATTCAAGTCACGCTGTCAAGGCAACAGAATCAAACAACATACACACACTTACACAAACACACACACCACTTTGCTAATGCCCAGTCCCTCAGTTGTGGCTCAAGCTGTTCACCATTTTCCCTTCCCTTTAGCATCTCTCAGGCCAACAGATACCCAGTGCAAGCTCTTGTAGCCTGAAGACACTTTTTTGGAAATACTATAAGGAACAGCTCCTCTTAAGCCCCAAAAGATCAGCAAACTGGATATTCAATATACACACACATATAGTTACTCATCTACATAAGCACTGTTCTTTTACATCATTTAGATGACAGATAGATGGATGGATAGACAGATGATAGACAGACAGACAGACAATCTATGAAAATGATTTTATGTAAAAGAATAGTACTTAAACTCTCCCTTGTGTATGCCATATGGGTGTATACACAACATCCATACACACACACACACAAAATCTAAAACTGATCCTGCCTAAAAGAGAATATAAAGGAAGCCAGCCGCTTTCCGACAAGACACTGAACTCGACTACTGAATCCCCTCGTTTTTTAGAGTCCGCCTCCTCAACCCGACCGAAAGATGACTAGAGGGGTTGTTTTCACCCAACGGGATAACCGCAACCCTCCCTTAAGCCAAGGCAACCCAAGCTTAGCAATGAGCGGAAAGGCAGTTCCCGGCCGCGTCGGACGCCGTGCCAAGGCAGCTCAGCCGGTCTGCATGCAGCACGTGCGCACGTCCCTCCGGAGCTATGTGTGCATGCACGCTCCCGTGTACTCTGCAGACATGCGTGCACGCCCGGCGGAGTTTGCAACGGGGGCGGGAGGCTCCAGATCCCCGAAGGCGAGGCGGAGGACGGCGGAGCCCTCCGGCCCGCGACCCCTCGCGACCCCCACCCGTCCGGCCCGAGGGGGGACCCGGCGGAGGCGAGGCGAGCGAGGCAGAAGTTACCAACGTCATAAGCTCACAGCGAGGCCATGTTGAATCGCGCGGCTGCTCCGAGCCCCCTCCGCGAAGCGAGGCCCCGCCGCGGCGGGCCCAGGAGGCTCCCCCTCGCCGGCGGGCGGGCGGCGGGCCGGCTCTCGGGGCGGCCGGAGTCAGGGGACGGGGGCGGCTGATGCCGGGGGGAGCGGAGGAGCCCCTGGCTGGCCGGCTGGCTTCAGCGAGTGCCCAGGAAGAACATGAGGATCACGTTGACCAGCAGCAGCAGCACGATGACGGAGAAGACCACCACCGTCTGGACGTCCAGGGTCATGGTGCAGTGCAAGACGCTGTAGTGCTCCAGGTGCGGCGGGGCGGGCAGGCCGGGCGCTGTCAACCGCTGCTCGGCCAGACTGTCCATACAGCCACCATGCTCGACGGCAGCCGGCTGCGAAGAAATGGCCCGCGGCTCTCGCCTCCGCCGCCGCCGCCGTCGCCCGCCGCCGCCGTGGGGGGAGGCAGGCAAGGAGAGGGGGGGGCTGCCACCGCCGCCGCCGCCGCCGCCGAGGGAGGCAGGGAGGGGGCGACCGGCGCGCGCCCGGGGCTCGGGAGGGAGCCGCGGGGGCCGGCGGGCGGACGCGCGCGTGCGCGCTCCCTGGCACGCGTGGATTCGAAGTCGCCGCCGCCGCCGCTCAGGCACCGAGATGCTGCCGCCGCCGCCGCCGCCGCCGCCGCCGGGCCAAGTCCAGCCAAGGCGGGGAGCGCGCGGGAGGAGCGCGCGCCGGGCAGGGAAGCGGCCGCCAGTCCCGCGCAACCCCGGGAGGGTCTTCGCCTTCGCCTTCGCGGACGCTGCTGCCTCCGCGCTCTCGGTCGGGACGGATCCCTTTGGCCAGCCCTCGGGAGGAAACGGTCCGCTCAAAGGCGACCGTACGACGGGGGGGGGGAGGAAAAGAGAAGCGGCTCCCCTCCTTGTGGCTTTCCTACCTTTTCATTTCCAAATCAACCAAGCCATAAACATCTGGCCTGCATCATTTAGACTGCACCTGTCCTCTTATGAGACTATTCAGTAGGTCCATCCCACCATCTAAAATCTATCTATCTATCTATCTATCTATCATCTATCTACCTACCTACCTACCTACCTACCTACCTACCTACCTACCTACCTACCTATCTATCGACCTATCTATCGACCTATCTATCTATCTATCTATCTATCTATCTATCTATCTATCTATCTATCTACCTACCTACCTACCTACCTACCTACCTACCTATCTATCTATCTATCTATCTACCTACCTACCTACCTACCTACCTACCTACCTTCCTATCTATCTATCTATCTATCTATCTATCTATCTATCTACCTACCTACCTATCTATCTATCTATCTATCGACCTACCTATCTATCTACCTATCTATCTACCTATCTACCTACCTACCTACCTACCTACCTACCTACCTACCTACCTACCTACCTATCTATCTATCTATCTATCTATCTATCTATCTATCTATCTATCTATCTATCTATCTATCTATCTATCTATCTATCATCTATCTACCTACCTACCTATCTATCTATCTATCTATCTATCTATCTATCTATCTATCTATCTATCTATCTATCGACCTATCTATCTATCTATCTATCTATCTATCTATCTATCTATCTATCTATCTATCTATCTATCTATCTATCTATCTATCTATCTATCTATCTATCTACCTACCTATCTACCTATCTATCTATCTATCTATCTATCTATCTATCTATCTATCTATCTATCTATCTATCTATCTATCTATCTATCTACCTACCTACCTATCTATCTATCTATCTATCGACCTACCTATCTATCTACCTATCTATCTACCTATCTACCTACCTACCTACCTACCTACCTACCTACCTACCTACCTACCTACCTACCTACCTACCTATCTATCTATCTATCTATCTATCTATCTATCTATCTATCTATCTATCTATCTATCTATCTACTTACCTAGCTACCTATCTATCTACCTCACTTGTCTATCATTTATCATATATATCTACCTATCCATCTATATATATCTAGCTATCATCTAGCTATCATCTGTCTTTCTATATCTGTCATCTATCTATTTAATCTAATCTATCATCTCCCCTAGAAAAAACTAGGCTCAAAACCAGAAGATGCTCTTTTTCTATCCACAGGATAGTTCTACCAGGGAAAAACTTTCAGTCATAGGACCCTCATGTGAAGTGACAAAACTGCTTCAACTGGGAAGAGACCCACATGGATAGCTGTGAAAGAGCTGGAAGTCACTCACTAGCTTACTCTCTAGCACAGATGATGTTACCTCGTTGGGTAATGAAACATCTGAAAGAAAACAATCAAGCTCAGAGAGCAACCAGGAGCTCTCATTTCAACCGTGAGCTACAAATATTCGCTTCTATTAGTCACTCATTTGTATGTTGGGATAGTGTGACATCTGTGATGTGCCACAGCTGAAACAAAGGCTGCCTCATTAGTGGCCATGTCAACCTCAGGATTCTCATGTCACCGGTACATTGTCTTTAGAAAGAAAAGTGCTTTAAATCACCATAGTTAAAACACACAGAGGCATCTTGTCACCTAATATACATCTCTGGACTACCAAAATAAGAGGCCCCCATAGACATTTCAAGCTACTTCTAGGACAGGGATGTCAAATTGAAGGTCCAGAGGCCAGATCCGGCCCAGGGGTGCTTAGATCTGGCCTGCAGAGACGCCCTGGAAACAGCGAAGGATGGGCCCATTGTAAATCTGCCAGCAAAAACGGAGCTCGGGAAGGCTGCCCTCCAGAGCTCCATTTTCACTGGCAGAGGGTTGCAGGAGGCCGTCCTGCCCGAAAACTGAGCTTGAGAGCCCATTTTCACTGGCAGAGTGCTCGGCCCACCACAGGCGCCCCCGACATGAGTGACGTCGAGCTGGCCACGCCCCCTGACTATGCCCCCCCTCGCGAAGTCAAACACAACCCTGATGCGTCCCTCAATGAAATTCAGTTTGACACCCCTGTTCTAGGAAAACAAAAAGATCTACAGTGCCACATGATTCAGAAAAATGGATCTTCACAACTTTCAAACCATCTTGCTTGTCCAATGTTTCTTTTTGTGTGTTCTAAAATTGAGTCCACCGTGCTGTTTGCCCTCATGCCAACAACAACTAACTTCCCTTCACAACTTGTATTAAACCATTAATTACAGTCTACAGTGCATAATGTTGGTTTTGCACAGGACATGAAGCAAGAAACCACTAAACCCAAATACACCGCTTTGGAATATAAATCGCATTATGGAATCATAGGGTTGGAATGGAGCTAGGACTTCTGGCTGTCCACCACCCTGTCCATGACAGGAGTCCTCAGAACATCCCAGATAAGTGGCTACTTTTGCTAAAAACTGCGCACAATGATGGAACCCCCTGTGATTCCAGTAGGCAGACTGTTCTTCCAGTAGGCAGAAATGTCCACAGGTAGGACATTTCTGGTTATTCCATGCTTGGATCTGTAATTTCCACCCATGGTCCTCTATTTAGAAATTATGGAGGATAAATTTATGGCAGACCTTCTTTGTGGCAGATTTTCAGATCTTGGAATATTGGTATCAAATCTCCTATCACATCTTCCAATATTGGAGGTTCTTAAGAAGAGATTGGACAACCATGGCTAAACCCACGGGGGGGGAGTCTGGTCGGGCGGGGGGGCATGGTTTAGAGGGTGCAGGATTGGAGGTCGAAGAGGGGGCTAGAGTTTGTACCAATGAGGATTTTTCCATCAGTACTGTGGGTGGGAGGGGCAGATATGGTGGGAGCAGGGGGCCGTATCCTGTTGTCGGGGTGCGCCCCCGCTGTTTGCAAGTGGTTGCATGTCCCAGCCTCCAATGCTCTTCTCATTCCCCGGTTGTGCAGGCCCTCAAGCCCCTTCGGTTGATGTTGTGCAACGCCAGGTCCGTGATAAATTAAACCCCCCTCATTTGTGATCTGGTTCAGGAGGGGTGTGTGGACCTGGTGGGTATTACGGAGACCTGGTTGGGCCAGGAGGGGGGGTTCCCGTCGTTGAGATGTGCCCACCGGGTTTCTACGCATTCCATCAGCCGAGGTCCTGGGGGCGGGGGGGCAGTTCTTGTAAAGGAAGGACTTGTTCCAAGGGAGGCCACTATACCTCAGATAGCCGGTTGTGAGTCCCTCCTTGTGAAGTGGGGACATGGGAGGCAGGTGGACTTGCTGATTACGTACCTGGCTCCCTGCCATGTGTCGGCTGCCCTGCCCGAGCTGCTCAACATGATTGCCGAGGTGGCGGTGGAGACCCCCAGACTTATGGTCATGGGAGACTTCAACTTGCCATCTGTTGGCGAAGCGTCTGAGGCGGCCCAGGAATTCATGGCTTCCATGACAGCCAAGGACCTGACCCAATTAATTCATGGCCCTACTCACACGGGAGGACACACTCTGGACTTGATTTTTGTCTCTGGTCAGTGGATGAATGATCTTGAGATAGGGGATATAGCGATTGAGCCCTTGTCATGGTCAGATCATTCCCTTCTTAGGCTTAACTTTCTTACCACGACACCCCGTTGCAGGGAGGCGGAACAGACTAGGTGGTTCTGCCCCAGGCGCCTGATAGATCCTGATAGGTTCCAGACGGAGCTTGGGCCATTTCCTGAGGCTCTGACTCACGGCTCGGCTGAAGAGCTGGTGGCCACCTGAGACAGGGCGGCTGCTGGCGCTTTGGACTGAGTCGTGCCTTTGCGGCCTCTGACCCGTCGCCGAGTTTACTTGGCTCCTTGGTTTTCTGAGGAGCTGAGGGAAATGAAGCGCCAGAAAAGACACCTAGAGAGCGGTTGGAGGACCAGCCATTCCGAATCTGACCGAACACTGGTGAGGTCTCACATTAAGACCTACCTAGTGGCAATAAAAGCGGCAAATAAAAGCGAGCCTGGATAGCTCTGCAGACAAGGCACTGTAATTTAACACCAGCTGTCTGCAATTAAAGTAAGTTCGAATCTTCCCAGGCTCAAGGTTGACTCAGCCTTCCATCCTTTCTAAGGTAGGTAAATTGAGGACCCAGTTTGTGGGGGCAATAAGCTGACTTTGTATAAAATATACAAAAGGATGAAGGCTATTGCTTAACGCACTGTAAGCCGCCCTGAGTCTCTGGAGAAGGGCGGCATATAAATCAAATTAAAAAAAATATAATTATTTTTCCGCTCTTATCGCATCTGCAGATAATCGCCCAGCGGCCCTCTTTAGGGTGATCCGCTCCCTTCTCCATCTGGGAGCGCGGGAGGATCCCTTGCAGGGTCGGGCTGAGGATTTTGTGCAGTATCTGCACGATAAAATCGTTCAGATTCGGGAAGGCTTGGTCTCTGACTGGGTAGGTTCAGGCGGGATGATGGAGGCAGGTCTTGAGAATGTTATCCGGGAGGAGTTTGAT